TTTTTGTTCCTCCGTCTCTAAGTTCATATTTAAAGGTATCAAAACAAATCTGCTTCCAGTTCACAAACTAAAGCAACTTTGTGTCGTAGCCACAGTGACAACTACATGAACGAAACCTAACAGAACTGTGCTACTAATTTCAATAAGTTATTGAATTAAATGTGAAATATTGTGCCTTTTGATGTGAATTTATGTATCACCTACCATGAAGCAACCCATCGAGAGGAATCTCAATCTACCAGTACCGAGCTATACACGTACCAAACCCACAAACATTACAAAATTAACGGTGTACTCGCTATAGCCCAAATGACAAATCCAGGTCAGTTATACTTTCAGTTTTATGTGGGTTCATGGAAGCAAGTCTCCAATCTCATCTTTCTTCCCACAGTCTTTTGATTTCTTGTAAACTATTTCCTTTCTCCTTGATGTCTTCCAGTTTCTCATAAAACTATCTTGTTCTCAGTCATCCCTTTGGTCTCCTTCCTTCAAATTTTAATTCTAACACCCTTCATACCATCCTTGTTCTATTCGTTTTTTTTACATGGCCAATGATTGTGTTGCTCTTGTAACCCTATTAAAAAATTCTGAATTCCAGCTTCTCAAAAAATTTCAGTCCCAATTCCATACCTTCTTGTTTTCCCCTCAATACAGGGCACAGATTATTAATCCTTTAACTGTTATGTGTTTTACATGCTAGATCAGCCCCCAATTACTGGGGCTTGCCTCCCCTTTTCATATCTGTAAGATCAAAATTTTATGGGTACCATACTCCTGTGTGCTTCAGTGCGGGTTGGGATTGGTGAATCGGTTTACTGGATCTTCATTAGTCAGAACTACAATTGGCTCTTTACCCGCTAAAGATTACTGTAACTATAGCACATGTAACGTCACACACTAAGTCTTCTAATTCTTCTTGTGGCCACACTGCTGTTCCCTTGGTACTTCGGAATTCAAGTCCAGTCAATTCCCATTTCCCGTATTCTCCTATATCCTCGTCATGGGCCACACACAGAAAACACAGTTTCATTAGTGCATAGCGCGGACCACACAGAAAACAAGTCATGTGATAACTATCTTGCCAGTCCATTTGCACGCTGTTGCCTAGCAACAAGCTATAAATTCACCCTATTGTTATGTGACCTTAAGTGAGGCGTTTATCACATTGCTGACTAGCTGTTCATGTTAAAATATGATGGCAAAAGTTCCTTCAGTTCTTCATAGGAAGGACTGTATGATACTTCCATCTAACATACCCTAAAATCGGTCAATAGGGAAGCTAAACTCAGCAAATTAGGAAGCCCATGCATCAACATTACTACATCAGCTCTAGGCAATATCAGCATTCTTGGCTTGCATTACAGTAGCCTGAAACTGGCCAATAAGGAAGATAAACTCAGCTAACAGGGAAACCCATGTATCAGCACTACCAGAGCTCAAGCCATTAGTTCCTGGTTTCCCACTGTAACAGCCTAGGTTCAGTCCCAGGTCAGGTAATGTGGGATTTGTTATTCATGAAATGGCACTGGAGCAGGTTTTCTCTGAGTACTTCAGTTTCCATGCTAATTCTCATTCCACAGACTGCTCCATACTCGTGTATCATCGGGGGCTGGAAAAATCAGCCTCTATAGCAAGTGGACTCAGTCTCACCTCACCCCACCTAATAAGCAATATGAGTATGCTTGGTTCACACAATAGCAATGACATACCAACTGCTTACAGCACAAATATTTGTCTGTAAGCAGTTGGTATGTCATTGCTATAATCTGCATAATTCAAATACTAGTACTTACTAGTACTTCAAATTATACATTTACCCGTTAAAGGATATGTACCACCTGCTTTAACATAAAGAAACTCTTCATCATTCCACAGTATATTTGTTTTTTATGATTACAAACTGGCTCTATATATGTACAAGGTGTGGCAATAAAGAAACCGGATTCATGCTCTAACCCTTTATTAGAAAAAAATCAGACAGTCGAAATGTTATCCCCTTCAATGTAGTCCCCTCCCCGATCCCTACACCGCTCCATGCGAATTTTCCACTGTTGGAAGCAGTGCTGCAGGTCATCTTGTGTTATGCTCTTCAAGAGTTGCGTCGCTTTTGCTTTCACTGCATCCACGGACTCGAACCTGGTCCCTTTCAGCGCAGACTTGATTTTTGGGAAGAGAAAAAAGTCGCACGGTGCTAGGTCCGGAGAATACGGTGGATGTTCCATCACTGGAATGTTGTTTTTTGCCAAATACCTCTTCACAGATAGCGCGTTGTCGTGATGAAGAACCCATGAGGCATTCTTCCACATGTCTGGTCTCCTTCGTCGCACACGTTCACGGAGGTACGTCAAAACATTTTTATAATAAACCTGATTGACAGTCTGACCTTCAGGCACCCAATCAATGTAGATTACCCCCCGGATATCGAAAAAAACAATCATCATTGCTTTGAATTTGGACTTGCTCATGCGCGCTTTCTTCTTCCTAGGGGATTTGGGGCTCTTCCAATGCATGGATTGTCGCTTAGTCTCTGGATCATATTGAAGAATCCAAGTTTCGTCACACGTAATTACGTTTTGGAAGAAATCAGGATCATTTTCAATGTTTTCAAGAGTGTCAACACAGCAATTCACTCGATGTTCCTTTTGCTGGGGGGTAAGGATTTTTGGCACCACTTTAGCACACACCTTTTTCATGCCCAGATCGTCGTGCAAAATCTGTCTAACACTTTCCTTATTGATGTTCGTAAGTTCAGAAATTGCTCGAATGCTCAGTCGACGATCTCTTCGAACAATTCTAGCGACCTTCTCCACATTCTCTGGAGTTTTCGCAGTGGGAGGACGGCCCGATTTTGGATCGTTCCCGACGTTTTTCCTACCCTCCATAAACTTCTTAAACCACTCGAAAACTTGCGTGCGAGATAGACACTGATCACCATATACTTCTGTCAACAAATTGTAAGTTTCAGTGGCAGATTTTCCAAGTTTTGTGAGGAATTTGATGTTAGCACGTTGTTCTGCATTAGCACTCAGCATTATTCCGACGGAGCTCAGAAACACGATCCGCTTCTAACAATGGTCGCGGCCAGACTAACCGATGCACGTGAATGAAACTTTGTGTGACGGTAGAGGGAAGTCCAAGGGTCAATGCCCTACCCTCCTCTTCGTCAATGACGTGGCCGGAAATGAGTCATAAAAGTAATCCGGTTTCTTTATTGCCACACCTTGTATATTGTCATGTGTCAAGTGACAAGACACAGGGCCTGGATTCATAATTAGATTTACTGAATGCTTATAACTCATACTACCTCACACTGACTCAATGAGTGACTGACCGACTGACTGCTAAATTGCTGCTGGCCCTTGACAACACAGTGACTCTTGGTTCCAAGTCCAATGGGACTCATGACCATATTTTACTGTGCGACATCTCTGGGAGCCTTCAGACAGCCACCTCCACTAACTCACAATAACTGTTAACTGCTGCTGATTTTTGCCAGCAGTGATTCTTGGTTTCAAGTCCCATGGGACTCATGACCATATTTTACTGTATGATGACTCTGGGACCCTCCCAGACTCCCTTAACTCACATTCTTGACTGGTTACAATTATAGAGCCTTACCGCAGACTGAAAAGAGAGCACTGCTTCCAAGAATTCCTCCACTGTTGAGTGACATGTTAAATGGGCTGCTGCCCAGCGATGGGCCGAATATTGTTGATGTGGGAACATGTTTTGGTTGTAGAAAATATGACATTTCAGAAACTGGACCTGTTTCTGTTCTCAAGTGTGGGGGGGGCGAAGGCACCTACTCAGTTGGTCCCCTTAGAAATAGTTAACCTCATTCACTGGACCCAGTATATGTGTTATATACCGCCATGAGAACCTTTTAGAATCTACATATTTTGGAATGTGTTTACCGGCTGTTGCCTAGCAATGGATGTCTCTTCTGGGCCTGCTATTCGGGCTTTCAGCTGCCATATCACAATATAAAACACTTGGGCATGCTTCCATTTCTTGCAAGCCCTATTATGAGAGCTGTTTACAGGGGATACACATGAAGCAAATAACTACAGAGGATATATGCAAGAGTACAACTCAATAATGGCATTTGCATGAGTGGGCACAGAGTTTATATCACTACCTGGTCCATACTGTTTCTAGATACATGGCCAGATTTACCATTTGGTCTCACTAATATGTTCAAATGAGGCAAATATCCAGTAAGGATTTGGGCTTTGTATTTTCAGTTCTGTTGAAACAACAAAACAGCTTCAAAACAAATCAAACCAAGGGTGTATGGCTGAAGTAATGCAAAAATTGAACAAAATATCGCAACAAGTTAACGCACCTGCCAAGTTATTCAAACAAATGCATCAAATTAAATGAAAATCATGAATAAATAATTAAAATGTGTTGATATTTAATTAATAACCATTAAGATCTGCTAGAATGGAGTACGTTACATGTGGTACAGCTAGTTTTTAATATTATGATATCATGTAAATTAATTTCATATTTAGGCAGTTAACCACATTTCCAATTATCAGCATTAAAAAGGATACATGATGTCTTTTCAGATGAAAATTAGCAATTACTTTGTGGGACTGCTGATGCTTGAAGAGACAACCATGCAGTATACTTCTATAACAAATACTTCTTGTTGCTAGAACGCATACATGGATGAGCTTCAGTCTTTTCTGCCGTCGATAGTCGTTGTGTAGTAGTGCTTCAGATGATAGAAATTCCTCTGCTTCTGTAGTCTTCTAGGTGTTGGAGGTACACTGTCGCTATGCAGCCCGTGAACCAATGAGCACTGGAGATGCTGTGGTCCGTGCTGATTGGGTAGCACTTGATTTGATGTGGGTGGCTCCCACAGCTTCAAATTATATACGATTTTAAATGATCTGATAATAAATTAAAGAGACGTTACTGTACTTCATGTCCTCTGCATTGGCAACACTTCAGATGCACAGTGGCAGTAACATAAAGAAATGAAGGCAAGCTTCAAATAACTAGGATATGTATTTTCAGATAAACAACTAATTACAACTTCATCTATCTATGGAATATGTACATATGGTGCTACAACATCATGACAATCATTTACTACAGATAAGACTAGTTTCTTCGATTTGTAAACAGCGGTTTGGACTCACCTGCAACCAATAAGAAAGGTGGTTACATTTTCATTGCACATACATAATGCTTACTAGTGACATCACAGAAGCCAAAATATCTTAAATAAATTACATAGTGAATCAGTAAACATACATTAAGAACATTACCATGTAATATTACACTTAAGATCTAGGATACCTTGAAATAACATGGGACTTCTGGGATATGACACCATTCAGGATGGCACACAAATACCAGGGAACCTGCTACCTCCATCTTCAAGAAAGTAGAACCCTACCAAACTACAAAATGCCACATTCCACAAGACTGTGATCCAAATACAGCATATTTCACCACACAAGGTAATTTTTTCTTCCTAAAGTTGCTAACACAAAAAGGAAACTGTGGTTCCATGCTTAACTTAGAGTAGGGGCATCTCATGTTTAAGTCGATGGTGATTTAGCATTGCAAACCTGTGTGGTTAATATTAGCAATAAGAAGGTGAAATTACCTCATCTGCATCATTCCTGTTTGAAGTAGGACTCCTCTGTTTCTTGGTGAGCAGCATCATAACCATTAGCACTGGTAGGTGAATCAGTGAGAAATGAAAGAGCCTTCGTGAAGTTCCACTGTCTGAATATTGATGGAACTGCCAGGCTGTATACAAATTAATCAAGCTTTTTTTTTTTTGCATACGTCACACACCATACACCAGTGGCAACCAACATTTGCAGTGTAAAGGACTAGTAAAGTAGCAATATCAATGACCTACACATCTCACAATGTACAGTAAAAATAAGCATATACAAACATGTTTATTTACAATATAAAAAGTAATTGTTTATGTGGTATTAAGATGTAAGTTATATTATGCTGTACAATGAATTTTGCAATTAAAAATTATTCATGAAGGCATATCATATAAGTCATCACACATACCCCCATTTCTGAAGGGTACAGTGACTGATCCCAAAAATCTGTTTCCTCTTCCTCACCATTCAGCTAGTCACAACATTAAATACCATAAATTATGGAAAGAAAATCATTAATATTCAGAAAAAGAAACCACTTAGTTGATAAAAGGAAATGAAAAATGAAAAGCTGCCAGTTGTACAATATCAAATTTTTCAGTCATAAAATATGAGTGCAAGTCAAAAAGTACGGACACCATATCCACTAAAATTAACAAACAACAATACAGAACTCATAAGTGCATAATTCTTCAACATGGTTCCCCTGATTTTCAACACACTTAGTTCAGTGCTGCACAGGCTTTTGTATTCCTTTGCAGGATGTCTTCAGCGGGATAGCTGGATACGCGTATTGCCTCCTTCAGCTCATGGATGCTGACACGATGATGACAACCCCTTAGCACAATTTTGAGAAGTCCAAAGAAATGACAGCCTGAGGGGGACTATGTTGGGACTGGATGTAGGGCCTCAGAGCACAGCTTCTGGAATGCTGCAACAGTGTGGGCAGCAGTAGGGAGAGGGGCACTGTCACATAACAACAGAGCAAAGTGTGACAGTTATTTTTGTTGTTTATTCTAATTTCCACCCTTCACTTGACATGCAGCATGACCCTGGAATGTGCACTGTTTAATGTCACACCCATTTCCTGATAATGCTCAGGGGACTGTTCCTCGAGAATCCTAGAAAAGTGTCAGCATCACTGTTCCTGCTACTGGTTGAGATCTGAACATCTTTTTGACACACACGTCACAAACTTCCTTTCCATACTCTAGTGTCTTCTCTCCAGCTCACAGGGGTGGATCCATGTGTTGTCATCAGTGGCAATATAACTTTATGGAAGTGAAATCTGTTGTGGATGGTTCCCTAGGCAGAACTGCAACTAATCTTCAGTCAGCCTTCTATTGTCAAGAATTAGTGCATGAACTTCAGCCCACAGAAACCTAATAACTGCATTCTAGACTTCCTTGATGCACACGATTAGCAGAGGGGCCATGTTGAAAACTCAAATAACATAATGTATGACACAAACTCCATCCTAAGTGCAACAATTTATTGTAGTTCTTTTGTCTTCTTTTCTTCTACGCTACATGTTTCGGCCATAAATGGCCATCATCAGGTGTATTTCTCTCACGTAGCTGTTACACTGCACGTAGTTCAAAATTTAAAAACACCATAAACATAAAACATAACACTAACATAAAACTGAAAGTGAAGGTGACTACAAACAGGACTTATAAATAATACTAACTAGAACTTGTGGACTGCCATAAATTAGGATAAAAACCACCAGGTGAGAAACACTGTCATAAAGGCCCTAAGGTTCTGACATTATGACCTTACCTAAGTACATGAAGTAAGCATTAAGTGGAATTGACCCTACTGCAAACAGCCATGTGGTCACCTCTAAAACAGGTGCAAGGCATGATAACACCAATAACGCCCCAGTGTAACGGAGGGCTGTCTGACGACAAAGATCTGGATTTGTAACAGACATCATCCTATATCCTGCTCGAGAATAATCAGGACGTAAATTCCAGGAGAGAGCATTGAAGTGCGGGAACTGCCAAGCATACAAAATGCCAGGTAATATCCATGCTCCAGACTCCAGTGTGCCAGCACAGCCTGCCCAGCCCATCAATGGGGGTATTGCTCCCACTGTTAACAAACCATAAAATGCAGTACAGAAAGCTAGTAATTGCTATAATGTTATATAGTTAATATCGTCATGATATCTCAGTATTCTGAACTGAACACAAAGTTCCAGAAACTTGATCTGTTTCTGTCCTCAGCCAGAATGTGACTGCAAAACTATGAAAAACCAAGATAAAATCATTCAGGATACTCAAATGTTCTAACTGAATATGAATCAGGCACTTCCTGACCATAAGTCAGAAGTGTTACTGCATGAGTCAACCTGCTTGATGCATTCATTATAGTAAGAGCCCTTTTTGATATTATGAACCTCCTTATACAGAAGCTCCCTGACTTACACAATACTTCTGTTCTGGAAGGTCATGCATAACCTGAACTTTGTGCAAGTCAAAATCATTACTGTAATATATGCACATATGTACACATGCATGTTTGTGTTTTGTATAAAAAATGGAAAACTTGAAAAAAATGAAAGCACAGAAAAAATTCATTGTAAGCATAGAAAATCAACATTTACAAAACAAAATTTCAGTTCTCATTCATTTACATTTTGTACCTTAATTCCACGCTATTCTGGCCTATCAAAAATCGTTTTGGTGTTGAATGACGAAGGATTCAACATGTGTAAGTCATGTCTTGCATGATGCAGACAGCATATGTAATAAACTTCTGTTTCTATAGAGAAATATGGCAGAACACAACAACAATGTGGCTGCACCAGTGAGATGGTTGAATGCAGTATCAGCATTTACTGCATTAACACATAAAAAGTTATCAAAACAATAAAAGAACAAATGTAGCACTTAAAATTTAAACTCCATACTTCCGTTCGGAAACAGAATCTTCTTATACCCTGAATAAAACGAGTGACTCTCCTTACCAACAGCCCCAACCCACGTGTTGAGAATACTGATTCGTTTCATGGGTGTATACACCAGGGTGTAAAGAACAAGGTTGGTAGCTCCAAGTGCAGCGGTGAGTCCGTTAACACCCCAGTACAAGGCTGACAGGCCCATCACACTACATGCTGCAGCAAATGTCAGTGCATGAAGTGGGCTAAATAAAGAAAATGATGAGGGAGAGTCATAAAATAATGAAAGTGAAACCAAACACATGTAAGTTCAGTAACGGGCAATGCACGTAGCTAAGATGGGGAAGACAAGTAATGGATACACAGTTCTGATGTGGAAATCTCTTGAAAAATGGCAACTACCACTACCCCTTTCCCCTAGAATTTGCTGTCAATGGAAAATGGGTTAAAAACAATTGAACAAAAAATATTTAAACCTTATAGACACTTGAACCACACAAATTGAGACAGCAATAACATCATAAGAACACATTAAAAAGTCACTCTTCTGAGAACAACTGGGCTAGTTGACCTGCAAATCTGTCAGCTGTGGAAGTATAGCCAACATCCCAAACACACATTTTATTCTGTGAGATCAGTCTTCTGGGATATGACAGTACATGATGTAAGGAGGGGGGGGGGACTGGGGCTGAGCGTACAGTTATCAGTGGCTCCTTATAAGGACCAAGTCAGGGTACATCTGAAGTTCTTCTTCTATCCTAAAGACAGAAGCAGTAGTTTCCTCTGAAACACTTGTATCTACCTACCAGACTATATGTTACATCTCAGAAAACAATAATTTTAACACTCACCACTATAAGAACCTCAAATTGCCTTTAATTCATTATCTTGTATACAGATATGTTTCATAACCATTCCACCTATATTTACAAATTAACATTTAACTTACGTAAGAAAACCTCGAACAAGAACCCTGTTCTTGGTTCGAGCCATCTGAGAGTCGAAGGGAACCTCGAAGAACTGGTTGATAGAATTTGCAGCACATGACACAAGGCCAGTTCCCACAGAGCAAAGAACAAATGTTGTCAGGCTGAGTGGTTCTGGAGCTAATGCATAGCCTGCCATAGTCGTCATTACAACCAGACCTACAACAGAATGCCATGCATAAGCCTCTCATTTCAACCTCATATTAAATGCCTGCCACAGTCACTATGTTACTTACAGGGCCTGCAAAGTACATTTACTTTCTCCCCCAAGGCAAGTTCATTTTGCAAGCTGCTGAGTCAAAATTAAAAACAGTCACTTATAGTAACTGGATATAAGCACTATTTCTTGTAGCAAACAAAACCGTCAATGCGAAACAAATTAAATCTGAGAATAAAAATCTGAAATGTATTTTAAGTATAAATTACTTACGTTTTATTTCACATTGTCTAATAGGAACAATATGTTTGACTGCTTCACAAACAAGAGTATTTTTTCCAGAACACCTTGCTGTTGTTTTAAACTATATGCAGGATGTCCCATTATTACTACATGGCATATTTTACAGAATGGCCTGTCACATGTATGTGCACTCCGAGGGCCTAACTTAAAAAGTTACAGCTATTCTATTTTAAATTTCCACTGCCACACCTTAAATACTTCCTGGGTTTAAATGACTGTGTACAAGAAGAAAACAAGGGAGCTATTAATAAATTTCTTTACATATACTTCCTTACAAGAAATGTTTGAAATGGCGTTAATGTTCACACACACGCAATTCAACTCTGCATAAAAAAGCTCATAAACATTCAAAGATTTGGGATGTGTTCTTTATTTCAGCTGTAATCAGTTGAACTCAGGGCCACAGTTTCTCTCTAGTAAAGACATACTGAACAACACACATTCCAACAGTCCACTTAATGTTTGTAAAGAAAACTAAATTAACTGTGGCCACCAACTCACACTTGCAAAATGTGTAGGCCTATGGGGCAGCCACCTAAAATTTCACTCAATCACGCATGTTCAACGCATTGCTTCTGAGCCTGTTCTGCATTACTTCCCATTCCATTCCCCTACCACACTGGCCAGAGGGCATGAAGAATAAATGCCATAATGCGTGTACATGTCCTAGCTTGCATAATCAGCAGCCAGTGATGGGCTGCAGAAGAACAAGGAAATCTTTTTCCAAGACAATGTACAGGTCAGTTGTACGAGGGACCTTCAAAGAGCTTCTGCATCTTTTATTTTACAACTTTATTTCACTGTTGATTACAAAAACAAAATATATAATTTTTCTATATAATCATCCTGATTTTCAACACATTTTTCCCAGCATCATAACAGAAAGTCTCTGGTTACACATGTGGACCGTGAGCTGGAAGTCCCATGACTTCTCACTTCAATTTCCTGAGGGTTTCCAATGTGCAGGCCACAGTATGGGGACGGGCATTGTCAGGCAACAACAGGGCACCCTCTGATAGTCTCCCTGTTCTTTTAGAGCAGATTGCAGGCTCCAGCCCCTGCTGAACCATGTCACAATAAGTTGCACTTGTGACAGTTGCTCCACGTTCCAGGTAGGTATCAAGAATTGGCCCTTGAAAATCCCAGATGGTCAGCATCAACTTGCCTGCAGATGCTTGTGTCTTGAATTTCACTGCAACTACGCTACCGCGTGTCCCAGTTATGCTACTAGCTATCCTGAATGAGGACATCCAGTTTTTCTGTCTCTCCAGTCGAGGTCTTTGATAATATAGTTAGCATGCATATGAAACATGGAAGAATCCAACATATTGCAGGACTGTCATGGAAACAACAGCAATATGCATGTCTTACATTCCTAAATAAAAATATGTCTGCAAAGTGTGAATATATTAAAATTATGAAATGTGCAATAGTAAATAAGAATTATGTTCTATGTCTTGAAATGCTACAGTTGCCTCTACTTCTTCATAATATACAAGCCAGTCTGCCAGTCACTGTTTTGCTTTCATCCACTTCCAAGCAGTAGTGGCATTAGCCTCAAGGTGCCCTCACCTCGGATAATTATCTCTTACCTGTCCAGATATACAATGTCCATAACTGGGGGAATTCAAATTCTGGTTTTAGCCATACGTATAAACTGAAGTTAAAAATTGATTTGGCACTGGTCTCTGTTTACTCACTGATGATGTGTGGGCAACAGCTAAAATTAAACCATTCTGTAGGTAAAGTCAAATGTAAGGTTGTCCCTGTGCTTAATTACACACTATGCCATGAAGAGTTACAGAGGAGTGGTGACTTAACTCTAAGCATTTTACCTCAGCACTAAAAGGTCACTTTACCTCCGGTTCCTATTGAACTGGAGGCTGGGTGGGGCTCCAGAACCATCCTGAATTCCATGGGATATACAAAAATCTGAGTCCCTGCAGGGAATCAAACCCCGATTCCCCAGTTGCCCAGCCCATAACCTAGACATTAATATTTAATTTTTTTTTAATATTTGTTTGCTTAGTTTTTAATTTCTGCCTTCTTATTCCATTCTTTGCTGTTTCTGCACCCATTGCCTTGTTTCATAATACAATCAAATAACAAAATATGCAAGGAAATATATTTTAACAAAAATGAAAACAAACTATAGATGAACTGGTATGTATAGTAACAAGACTGACTCACCTATCATAGCTCCTTGAGCTATTCAACACACAAATTCACAAATTATTGTACCTACATGTAAGCCTTATTTTCGACAGCATAAAATAATGCTGTATAAGCTTCGAGTAGTCTGTTCTCAATTCGTGCCATTGTTTGTCCTCCGCTACTAGTCTATGTTTTGGTGAAGATCTTGGTGTGAATGTGTCACTAGTAACTGTGATTCCAGGCTGAAGTTTTGTTGTTATTTCAAAACTTCTACTTTTAAGTACTGTACTATCTGGTGGCTTTGCAACAACAGATGTAGATGTAGATGCAGCAGAAGTTGGAGATGATACTTTATTGGAATACTGAAATGACAATACAACAAACATTAATATAGGCCCTTCCTGCATCCCCATTCATAAGCAATTTTCACCAATTTACTCATTTTCACAATGAATTTTCTATAGAACAATGATCAGTTCTCAAAAAGATTGAAATTACACAGCTTAACAGGCAAGTTGTACATACAAGTTTCTACATACTGCTAAATTTTTGTAAGAAAACATGTCTCAGAGAAATAGAGGAAAACACACCCTTCCAGAATGGCACAGCAGTGCATAGATTTGATTCCATAATATTAATTATTCTGCTACTGCAGTGGCATTGAGTATGAGCAACGACTTTCCAGAAGTCATACTAATTCAAGAAATCTAAATTAAGAATATGTAAAATATGTTTATATTAAATTAAAATGAAACTACACAAACCTAAATAACCAAATAATCACACCACAGGCTACTATCAGTTCCAGTGCTTCTGGGCTGCTAATAAAGCACTCCAACTCCTAGTATGTTGTGTTGGCATCACTTCTTAGTCGAGCAGAATTTGATCTGAATCATTATGGCTCAGTACAATGTAGCATAACAACGTGAAACAAAGTTTTGTATGGTACAGTTAATTTATCACTGAGTGCAGATGACTTCAAATAACTGGAGAAAGAAGAGCTAACATTTGATGAGTGGGTGGGTGAAAATCAAGAAAGTTAACATTGTGGTGGGAGAATCCTTGATATTGTTACAAGTTTAACACAACACTAATATTTACTTTTTGATTTGTTTCATTCTGGTCCATCACACTAACAATATCATGAAAAATTAAACAGTTCTGTCTAGTGTGACTGGTAAAGATTTTTCTTATTTCAATTATTTATGCCCTCACATGTTTCGGTCTTCAGAGACCATCACCAGAAGGACACCTTTACATCAATACAGTTGGAAGTTTCTATTACAATATATGTTCTGAACGTTAAAATATATACATATAATATTAATAATATACAATTGGGTATAAAATATAAAAGTTTTTACAACTACAGTGGCTGTTCCAATACATTAAAATATTTGTAATTGGTTTGTTAAGATTTTATTGGAATTTATAAACCAAGTAGGTTCGTGTCTTCTTTCTTATTATTTCCCTTGACGGGGGCCAACCATGTGCCGCCTTGTCCTTCTCGAGGAGAGGGTTCTTTGATGTCCTGTATGTTTGTGGCACGCCACTTTCCATGACTAATACTTACATTTAAAATAGCAGTACAGAAGGCTTGGCCGAAACGTGGAAATTTGTATTGTGCTTTCCATACTGATGATAAAACTATATACATCATCTGAGCAACGTATCAAATTGTCTATCATGGTTAATCATCCTGAAAAAGAGGCAATGCAATTACATATTAACAGGCCATTCAGGCATGAATAGTAAATCCTAAATTCCATTCTACACTGCGTTTTGGCCAGTATATTTCTAGAATAATTTGTATACACACACACCACATGTGAAAAATACTTTCAAGATGCCTGTGTTTCTGAAGATTTCTAGAGAGACCATGAGTTTCTTTAAAGTGCACAAATTGTATGCAAACAGAACTAAGGTGGCACGATCACGTCCATACTAGTAATAAATTGATTTCCCACCCTATCTGCAAACTATAATTTTTATTCAAGTAACACGAAGTCAGTTTGTATTATTACGTAATTGATCTTATCTGACAATAACCTATATATCCACCACAAATACACACATTCCATAACCACTGTCTTCTGGAACTATACCAGTCCCTGGTTCACTAACAACCGCTAACATCTCTAACGATCAAACAACACGCTACCTAAAACCGGAACAACCACACACCTTCACATGTCGAAAACTGGATTTTACGCTTAGATAGTGTTTGGTTACACTCAGAATTTCCCTCATATTTAGGGAAATGTATTTACTTCTAGTATTGGAATGAAACGCGTATGAAATACAATACCGTATCATATGCTTAAAGACATTTGAATTCTCAGACCGTTCAATTTAAACATTTATAAATTAGACCATCATATACATACATAACAACAATATTTCCTGTGGCCTGCACGATTTGGATACTGACAAAGTACACTCATACGACTCAAACCGATTCAGACTACTTAAAGATCCGTGCTCTAGCAGACCGCTCACGGATTATACGTTCAGCCCTGTCGCGACATCTACCAATAATTCGCATTACTGTGACGGGGTCAGGTAATCTTAGCACAAGAGCGCACGGTAGTCTCCTCAGCTCCTCAGTCTGGTACGTTTTCATTTGGGGGGAAGGTGGAGATATTTTTCGAAATTCTCAGTAACCGGATTATATTGCATCGAACAGAAGGGTAACTGATGAACGATGGATTGGAAAGGAATCGGTCTTGGCCTAATCGAGGCTTTATGCTGCATTTGCTTGGAGATACTGAGAAAAGAAGAATAAGGCCTGTTAATAGCGCGTCCCGACTAAGATTCAAGCCATGTACTTTCTAAATATGAGTCTAGATTCCTAGAACGTTACCTCTACGTCCACCCTCTCGATCCAATATTAAAATTAAAATCAGAAGGAGGGTTAAGCACTTTCTGAAAAGTGTGAGACTGGGGAGTGATATCAAACACGGAGTTTCTTGAAAACCAAATTAATTTCTCGCATTAAGCTTCTCTTTTTTCTTCAAGTAATACTGCGAAATAATGCTTCTTTTAGCAACGCAGTCGCTTTTAGCGATTCGCTCCAGATTACCTGACACTTTCAGCGTCCATGAAGTGATATTGTACAGAGATTACTTATAAAGTTTTTGAAAAATTGTTCACCATACTTCATAATGCACGTAAGTTATATGCATATGGCAGAGACCTATACGAGATTTGAGGTTCTCAGACTAAAGATTGAGGCGTCAGGACCCGTGGAAAATTTGAACCCGTCCCTGAACTCTAAGTTGTCACATCCCGCAAGACTTATGGTCTAAGAAGTCTGTGAATAGTATTCTGGCTTGTTTCCCTAAAGTAATGAAGATTCTGCAGCACATTTATCTATTTCGTTTTGGGTCTTCTGAATAAGGTCCGCGTTTTTGCCCCTCAGCTTACGTTCTATACGAGATTGCTGGTTTCCGGTATTTTTTTTTCCAACGTCAGTCTTTCACCAATAATAGGCGGGGGGGGGTGCTTGGTTTTGTAAGTGTTCTAGAAACGCAAGGCGGCAGGGTTTTCAGAAATCCTTGTAGGAACGATTTGGCTTAGCGTCTATATCGATTTGGACTTCTAAGCAAAGCGGAGCCACCTTCGCGTACCAGTATTAAAAATATTTGTTCTTTCTCGTTTATTTTGACGTCATAACATGATTCTTGAGTAAAGAACCTGGTGCCCATTGGATAGGAGGCGGAGTGGATTTCAGAGCCACGCTGAATGCGGTGGGGTGCAAAATCTATTCCCTCAATTACGCAGTTGTCTAACTGTAACATAGTCGCTGTAATGACTGAGGTTTTTAACCGAAGCACGGGATTTTATATTACACGTGGCAACTGTGTGACCGGTTATTTCAGACGGTAATGGAGTTGCAATGCTCACGCAGTATGCGGTCCATGTTTTTCCGTGGATGGAAGCCAGCGGGAGCCTCAACACAACCTTTGTTACGGGGTAGAGCCCAAACCTGATGTGGGGATACACGACACTTACAAGATCAAAGTTTATTGAAAACAAAAAGAATGAAGAGTATTGTCTTCTGGAATGCGACGCCGTGTAGTGTGACAGAAATTTGTGTGTTTCGAAGGGACGTACTCCCTGCAGCTTCAGGTTCGAAGAGTGAGCCAAGTAAGAAACCAGAAAGAAACAACCAAAGGTCTGAACGCGCTTCTTGTTGGTTGCTTGACATAATGTTCAAATTTGGGGATGAAGGCTGTTTGTACCTCCGAAAGTCAGTAAGCTTCTATCATACTACAGGATTTCGCATCCCAGAAAATGGCACTCTTCATATTTTCGGTTGTGAGAACCTCAAATCCAGCAAAATAAAATGTCCATTCTGAGCGGTGACCGCGACAGCAGTACTCGTTACAGATACGCTATTTCAATTCAATCCAGGTCTTCTATTCTAGTGTTTGCTAACGGCAAGTAACGTATGAGAGGCGAGCATTATAAATGTATTAAAAAATCCCTGTAACAGACCGTGAAGGCCCATAGGATTGTGGGACGTCGACGCTCCCAAATTTTCTAGAAAATCGGCTCAGAGATGGCGTTAAGGTTGTCAGCCTTACGCGGCGGCCGCCCTTTATTCCCCAGGAAGATTCCTGGTACTCATTTGTGGTAGAGGCTGAGTCGACCCCAGGACCGTAGTGCGGCTGGAAAGATTAGGTCAATTTGAAAAAATCCAGTGACCTCATCGGGACTTGAACCCTCGACCTTCAGGTTTGTAGCATAGTGCCTCAACCAACTACGCTACAGCGTGCCCCATTGCAAAATTAAAACTATGATAAATATAGATTAAGAATTTAATACTAGGAACTACAAACTGAAACAGAACAAATAACACGTCATACAAACCATAAACTAAATAGGACCGAAAAGGAAAGGGTGTCCTAAAGGGGAGGAGCGTGGTTTTTAAACATCTAGAAACCGGCAGTTTTTTTGGGGGGGGGGGTCTCTGATGCACCTTGATGTAAGTCTTGAAACATGGCTCACATTAAAAGTGGAAAAGCCTTTAATTTATTTAGTAGGCACATGACGATAAACAATACCAATAAGAAAATAATAATGGATTTTAATCTATCAGTAAAACTGTGTTATACCTTAATTGAGATCATCACAACTATTTTTATTTGTTATTTATAGAGAGTCTTATTCACTGCATGTTTCGGCCTGTGTTGGTTCTCTTCAGGCCGTACTGACGTTCATAATTGCTACTGAATCCTATTGCTATTGTGGCTTATAGACCCGTTGCTAAGCGGTGAATCTGTAAACAACAGCCGTTGCTATGCAAGACGCGAATAAACAAACACCCGTTTCTATGTAGCGGTCGAGGTGTTGTTTGACTATACGAATGGAAATGGTGTTTTATATGTGGTCTGTGGCGTGATGTTTAAGCAGGACAGTTTGAAGCAATGAGTCAGTGGTTGGTGAGAGCTGTCAATAGCTCAGTTGAGTGAAGAGACGTGAAGTAGTTGGTTGGTGAGTGAGAGAGTGCAGTTGTCATTTGAAAGTCAGCCTGTGAAGACTAGACTAGGTTGGTGTGAAATGGCCGCCAGCCTAGGACCAAGTTAGTTGAAAACTATGACAAAAGGACCTGAGTGTGGGAAGCTGAAGAATCTCCCACGGTAGAAACCGTCGCCAGGAAACGGCTAGTAGAAACCGTAATAGACTGAGGACACTAATCTCTGTGTGTGTCAGTGATGAGTAAAGTGTAATACAGAGGGGTGTATACAAGTGGTCAATAAATCCATTCCGCATTCCATACCCTGTCTACAGTCACACCCCCTCAAATACGTGACAATTTTTATATTGGCTTACAGAAATTGTAACAGAAAAAGTGCATCCATTTTTTTTATAAAAGGTACATAGTCTTTCGTGACATCACGCAACCAAAGAGTGAAACTCTAGATTATGACAGGAGGTTAAAGTTATAACAGGAATTTCTGGGAAGAACCAATCGCCTACTTTCATTTGAAACGACACTGACAGTATGGAAAACGACGTCTCCAACATTTCTTCGTTGCCGCGGGAACGTATTTCCCAAGTTGCTACCTGGCAACGATAGGGTGATACACAGAAAAGTGGGAAACACTTTATCGTCAGGTGGGAGAAAGAACGTCTTTTGTTAGAAGGTTTCCAGATTTTATCCGCACATCCTTCGGAAAAGAGCAGAGTGGAAGTAAAGACGTCAGGATGGTTGCAAGCAGTGGCTTGAGAGGGGGGCCGCAGAAGTTTGATTTCCGAATTGGTGTCGACATATACGTGTAATATGGAAAAATAATTTTAGTAGCTTTGACAGAAACGGAATTAAGTTCGATGAATTTAATTCGAGAGGTTTGCATGAGAAGCACGCAGCAGCAACTTGGAATTACATATCAAGAATAACACTACATTGGTAACTAACAGTTTACATAAACATACAGGTAATTCTGTTCCTGTAAAAGACCGTGGAGACCAGCAAGGTTGTGAGACATCTAGTATCCCACATTTGAAAGCATATCAGCTCATATATGGCTGTGAGGTTGTCAGCCTTACGCTGCGGTCGCTCTCTTTTTTTCAGGAGGGTGTCTGGTACTCATTTCTGACAGACACTGAGTCGACCCCAGGGCCACAGTGCGGCTGGAAGGATTAACAATGCACATTTATGGTTTTCATCTTCATCCGTTGTCGTGGTAGTTGTCAGATTATCATTTGGGCTCTAAGTTTGGTCCAGCGTGGGGTCAGCTATTTATGCTGCATACGGACTGGACCCTCCGAATTTCCTGCGATGCTTAGCAGCATATCTGTCTTACACAGACAGACCCACAGACTCTCCACAGATACGACACGGATCGCATAAAAATGAGGCTTCCGACAATGATTCTATTTCTGCGTGAATTCACTGTAGCGGGAATGTGTTTACTGAGCCGTTTGCTAGCAATGAAAGAAGGGGTACACTTTACCAAGCTCTGCTTAGGAACGATAGAAGAGATACACATACAGGCATAAGACTAAGGGGAAGGGTTTAAGAAGTACGCTATTCA